TGGCCGACCGAAGAAGCCGAAGCAGGGCCGATGGAGGCGTCCTCTGCATTGCCTTTGCTTGATCTCAGACGCTGTCAGTTCTTTTGGAGCCAGAGAGTGTAAGTACATATACTGCTGATACCATGTTGTCATTCACGACTTTGTTTGTCGGCAGGACTATCACGGTGCCAGTGCAGTCGGGGAGGATGGTTTGCTTTCTGCAGTTCCGGGGCGTGGCTTTACGGCACTATGAGGCTTCTCTTCTGTCAACTAAGCCGAATCAGTCCTCACAGTGTATATGCTTGTATAATACCTATATGTGCATATAGAGGAAATGGTGTGCGCGGGCTAGGTTAGTAGCAGCTGTGTTGTATTACGTGCATACATACATATACACATACATCCATGCAAGCAGATACACACACACACATACATACGTATGTGCATATATGTTAATACATACACTGATTAATTCTTTCCTTCATTTGTATATATACAGATATAAATATAAATGCATATATATATATATATATACACCAATTAATATTCGTCATTGATGATACTAGCAGCAGGAGCCGCCCTATACATCGGGGTTACGGGTTTCGGGTTGGGGGATGTTATATGAGGGGCTAGTTTGGGTTTTGAGGGTTAGGGTTTGAATTTGGGGGATGTTAAGGTTTAGAAGGGGTTTGAGAATTGGGGGTCTGCAGGTGACAGCCAAAGCCCAGCGTCATCTCCGGCTTGGGTTATATTGCGGTTAGGGATGCTAGGATTGAAAGGATTTGAGGTTTTGGGGTTAGGCAATAGCCCTAGCCCAGAGGCAGCTCCGGCTTATACGTTATTGGGGTTAAGCTGGGGATGTTAGGGTTTAAAAGGGTTTGAAGTTTGGGTTAGGTGATAGACAAAGCCCCGAGGCATCTCCGGCTGGGGTCAAGGGAAAGTATAGATAGAAGGGCTTCATCGAAGGGGATGAGGTTTGGGGTTGTGGGGTTAGATGCTCGCCAAAGCCCCGAGGAATTGCCGGCTGCCCGGATCCAGATGCAGTCGACGGCGACAGCGGTGCTCCTGATTGCATTAAAAAAACCCAAGCCCTACAACCCGAAAACCCTGCAAACCCTATACACCCAAAACCCTATACAAGCCCTGCAGCGGTACCCTAATACATATTACATATCAGGCCTGAAGCCCCAAAGCCCACTTGGCACTTATAAACCCAAAGCCCTTGCAGTATCATTAGTTATGCTGGTTCTATCCCTTCCTGCACTACTTGTATGTTGCTGCGATGATGTTGATATCCTGATACGTGATGTTTACTGCATCAGGTGTGGAGCCCGACGGTGCAAACGAACCCGAGGCGGAGGATGAGGAACAGGGGCAGGGCGCAGAGGAGACAGGGGAATGTGAGGAGGAGACAGGAAAGAATGAGGATCACGACGTGCCAAAGGATGCTGAGGATGAGGATGCAGTGCAGGCCGATCCCGAATCCAAGGAGCGCCGTCTTAAAATGCAACACTTGCTCTATGCGGGGCTTCGGATGTGTTGTTTTTCTTTTGCAGCGACTATCGCAGGAACCCGAGGCCAAGAATAAGAAGAAGTGTCACGAGGATGGCCCGCTCTGGGGTGCCATGCAAACCTTCATAAGGCCGGCATGCTTCCATGTATGGATCCTTTCTTCCTACATAGCCAAGCCAGCCTGTCTTGCAGGCATGCCAAAACTGAGCACGGAAAGTCCTACAGGGCTTCCTAGCTTGCATTAGAGCAGTTCAAGTTCTGAAGCCTGTTCACGCACCAATTCAAAATCCATTCCGACTGTGTGCTGAGGAAGCCCAAGCCCTGTGGAAGCACAGTCTTATTCGGCAGCTACTTGGATCACTTGGATCAGTCTTGGTGTATCAACCATGTATGTGCAACTCTTGACAGCCTCCCTGACAAAGCTAATTGATTTGCCACTCAGGGTGCTGGTCGAGAACATTTCAGACAAGAAGCGACGACGATTGGTGTGATGGTATGATCGGTGGATGGGCCCGTGGCTTTGGTGCTTATGATCTGTACATAGGCCTTAAAAGCCAGCCCCTGCGCAGTTCTTCCCTAGATATGTGTGGCAGGATCCACATATTATGACAGGCGGCTAAGTCTTGGAGATGGTTCCTAGCAACGTATAGTTGTGCAGGTCTTTAGAGATCTTTACTGTTTGAATATAATATCCTAAGCTTCCTCTGTTTGGGCCTTGCGAACAGAGCCCGGCTGTCCTGGTTTAAATTTGTAATTCGAGCTGTGCGACACGAGCTGCACGACTGACTGAAGTGCACGCATGCTCGCAAGGGGGAATACCATACATGCATGTGCGTATTGCCCGCCCTGCCGATCTACACGAAGTCTTGTGTCGCTACTCTCAAATGTGCAGTCGCATATTCAGGATTGGTTTGGGGCCTTGCTTTAGGTTGCTGTGGTTTGTCCCCACTGCTATCACTTGTGACATGGCGGCCGGTCCTTGGCCACTCGTGAAGCCGCTGCTGGCTCGTGGTGTGAGCTCGCCTGAGCTGTGTCTTTCTCTTGCCAGTACATGCATAGGGTCTTTTCCTAGGAGCGTTGATTTGCTGTTGGTTGAGGCCTCGAGCGCTCATTGTCGTCTTGCTGTTGATGAACTACATGGGCTTGGCTGACAAACATAATGATCGCATCGATGTGCTGGAAGTCTTTGCTGGCTCAGCTGTGTCTCCGATGCATATACAGCCTTCCAGGATGCTTGCCGGACGCAGAACATTGAATCACACATCCGAGGTTATCTACGAGGAAGCAATTCGCAGGGGTTACAAAGCTCGAAAGATCGATGTGCTGTATTCAGACACCAACGATATGAGCCGGCCATGGGGATTCCTGTAGCTTACCCGAATCGTACTGTGGATGGCGAGGGTTTTCGAGGCTTCAACTTTTACAAATTGTTGTGCTGCCCAGGCTGGCACTGGGCTATGTTCGGCGCCTACGTCGGCATGGCCTCCTGATTCTTGCGCCGGTCTGCTTCTCTGCAGCAATCGTCTAATGTAGCCTGAGCTAGCCAGGCTCGTTCACAACAATAGACTCTCTATAGACCCGCGGAATTACACTATTAAGGAGATGTGCTTCCACAAATTCGGCAAATTCGGGGTCTGGAGATTCTAGTTCTTTTCTTTGACAGGCTTTAAGGGACCGGGCTTGAATTCCTGGCTTCGGATTTTTGTGTTTCTTTCTGGCACGGCTTTGAAAGTGAGGTCGTCAGTCTGGAGGTTGTTGGGTTTAGGGGCTAAGGCGCTGAGGATTGGGGGGATACGGCTGTATTCATCGGGTTTGGAATTGAAGTTCTGAAGCTTTGGCTTCGCGGATATGGGTTTGGCCTGGTCCATCGATCCACAACTAGCGAACTAGTGGGATGACAGCAGCCTGATCTGTAGGACGTAGGATTTCGGGATGCAAGGTTCAGGGCCTAAGACTTTTGGTTGTGGGCCTCAAGTTGGGTTAAAAGAAAAAGCAACCATATTTCGTGATCGGTGGGAGGGCTAACATGTACAAGGGTTTAGGATCTGGGAACAGGTTTGTATATGGCTTTTGGGTTTTGAGGGGTTAGGGTTTGAATTTTGGGGGATGTTAAGGTTTGGAAGGGGTTTGAGAATTCGGGGTTAGGTGACAGGCAAAACTCAGAGTCATCTCCGGCTTAGGTTATACTGCGGTTCAGGGATGCTAGGGTTCAAAAGGATTTGAGGTTTTGGGATTAAGCGATAGCACTAGCCCACAGGCAGCTCCAGCTTATAAGTTATTGGGGTTAAGCTAGGGATGTTAGAGTTTAAAAAAGTTTCAGGTTTGGGGGTTAGGCGCTAGCACTAGCCCAGAGGCAGCTCCGGCTTATAAGTTCTTGGGGTTAAGCCAGGGATGTTAGGGTTTAAAAGGGTTTGAGGATTGGGGGTTAGGTATACATACATACACCGACATGCATGATTGTTTGTACTCGTACCAAGACCCCAAACTCTGTTCGCGGAGGCAGCTCCGGCTTATAAGTTCTTGGGGTTAAGCCAGGGATGTTAGGGTTTAAAAGGGTTTGAGGATTGGGGGTTAGGTATACATACATACACCGACATGCATGATTGTTTGTACTCGTACCAAGACCCCAAACTCTGTTCTATATAGACACTTCGGAAGGTTGTGGAAATGATTAGGTTCTCGGAATCCGAAGAGTTACGCACGACCCTCGCGTTCTTAAATTATTAGGCTCCAACCGCACCGCACCCCACCCCGCATCAATGAAATGGTCTAGGAGTCTAGGGGTATATAAACTAACAGAAAGGACTGTTGTGGCGTGTATACATACGCAGTTTTTACAGGTTCAAGAGTTTTTACAGGTTCAAGAGTAGCAGTACCAGCCACAACAGTCCCGTTTGAAGTAAGCGACTTACTTTACTAGCTACACCAGACCGGTTCTAAAACAAAGCCCGTGCTCTAAAACTAGGTCTGTCTATTGTTCTGCACGATCAACAACAAAGTAAGAAGTTACAAGCCTTGCTGTTTTATGGAGTAACCAAAAAAACCAAAAAAACCAAAAACAACAAAAAAAACAAAAAAACCAAAAAAAACCAAAATAACCAACCCCATACCTCCGGAGCCGCCCGGTGATATGGGGTCGGTTCTTTTGTTTTTTTTGGTTTTTGGTTTTTTTGGTTTTTTTCGCTTCTGCACAGGTACGCGCCTGAGCCGAGCGCACTTGCCTCCTTGGCATCTGGTGTTCTAGAAGGGTTCGCAGTTCGTGGTTCTTGTCACGACGGCGACGCCACTGATTCCCGCCACGCGTCCTAGATGTATCACCCAGCAGAAGTTCGTCAATGTATGCACGCCGCGACACCAGCAAAACGTCTCTTGCACTTGCTCATGATGCTCATGTTGCTGCGTTGCTCCAAGTTTGTATTGTGAGATCTGTCATTGATGTCTTGTCCTAGCAGCAACCTTTCTTCATCAAGCGTATCATTCCCGCACTTTCCTGTCCTGCTTTCTGCATCATGGCACGTGCGGCAGAGGACTTGTCTTATGAGGACCTGCAGAAGACGGTAGACCCTATGGTCTGCAGGCCGGTGACGTCTCCAGCAATCCTGCACTTGCCTGCAGGCATCTTCACACCAATGACTCTTCCGCTTCAGGAGATGGGTCCTTCGGATAACCCCTCCATCCATGTGTTCGATGTGATCCCTAGCCACGCAGAAACCATCGACTTCCGTGACCTGGAAGCGAAGTACAAGTTAGCCGTACTCAACCTCGACCTGAGTCTTCTTCCCGCACCGTTTTGTCCACGACAGTCTGTCCCAAAGGATACCAAATTGCAGATCTTCATCGTTCCCACTTCGGATGAGAAACACTACATCATCAAGCATTTCGTCTTCGCCAGCAAGTGCAAAGCCTGCTTCTTCTTGGCCTCCGTATACGGCAAGGCTCACATCTACAGATGGCGGGCGGCAAATCCCAAGGTAGGCAAAAAGATCCTCCAATACACCCTTGAGAACTTGGGGTGCTATCAATTCAAAGTCTTTGACCTCCAAACCTTCTCTGCCGCGAAGAATACCAATACCCGCTTTGAGGACAAGACGGACGAGGAGGTGGATGCGGGGTTTGACTACATTGCCACGGAAGGCCCTCGTTCCTCTAGCGAAATGCAACAGTTGAGGTGGATGACGAAAGCAATCAAGAATACAAGCTCTCCAATCTTCAACTGGCCGAACAGTCTCGTTGAGAAAGCCCTTCGCAATCTCGCTACTGACGGAGCCTTGGCTAAAAAGATTGAGGAGTGGCCTATTCCATTCACGAGCACCTTCTACCATACTTGGGTTCTGGACATCTTCGAAAAGGTGTGGGATTTCGATACCTCTGCCCTGGTACTTCTCGGTGAAGCTGGAGCTGGGAAGTCGCCTTTGGGGCGCAGTGTCTTGATGGCTCAGGTGCGACACAATCAGATCCGCTTCAGCAGTCGCCAAAAACCTTGCATCAGATGTACCCCTGAAATCGATTTCCTTCGTGGTGAGCAGGGACATGTCGCCATGGGGGATTTCTTGGACGACACGACCATCAAGTGGCTCTCAAACAAGATGTTGAAGTCCTTGCTGGACGTGGGTCTATATGAGGCCATGTCATGGGCACGCTGGGGTGCTGTGAAATGGGTACAGAATCAGCCTCGAGCCGTCGCTGACAATACTTTCGATGAGGACTACAAGGTCAAAACAGAGAGCTTCTTGCCCAGTGTCCCCCACGAGGAGTTCTCCAATATCATCAAGCCTGCATTCGGTCCTGACATCACCAAAGCCCACATGAATGCAATCTTCAAGCGAAGCGTCTTCGTGGTAAACACAGACACGCACATCTACTACAGAAAGGCTCGCATCAATCAAGATCGCATTCCTCGTATCGAAATTCCAAATGCGGAGTATATGACGGATGCGGGCAAAGCCTTGTACGGTGTCTTCAAGGATGGTGGTCGTCTTCTACCTCCCGACTTCAACGCCCAGGTGCGTCGGGAGCAGGAATGGGTGTCGAAACTTGTTGAGAAACGCCAACAGGAGCGCCGTCCAGACCATCAGAAACGCTTGCAAGTTCGTGAGGCTCTGTTCGGCCGCGAACCTACCTCATCGGAGCCTCTCCACCGGCGCATCAAGAGGGAACAAGCGGGGGCTCACGCAGAAGCGGTGAGCAAGAAGGCTAGGACATGGGCCACGGAGCTGAAAGCTTCCAAGTCCGTCATCGACCTGGACACGCCGCCACGCCGTTCTTCTGAGCCGGCAAGGCTTGTGCATGTTCCCAACCCAGATTTCGCAAACGACTCCGAGGAGATGGACGTGGTGTCGGAGGAAGAGAATGATCCGCTGGGTTTGGGCATGCACATGGACTGAAGCGCACTTGCTAGGGCTAGATGCTCAGTTTTGCAACCCGCGTAGCTTTCCGATGTTCTTGGTGCTCCCTGCAGTTGCTCGTGGTGATCACCGTAACTATCCATGCTGTTACCATCCTCCGTAATGGTTTCGCATGCTACTTATCTGTCTTCGCAGAACTGCTTTGGAGCACGCACGCAGACCCCATCATGACTTCGCCGCACAAGAAAAAGGTCATGCATTGCACTGCTATATCTCTTGCTGTTGTTGAGATCTTTCGGTGCTGCGCAATGGACTCTTTGCTCATGATGCATGCTTTCGTCGAGTACACTCAGCACGTGCCTCATATCTGTGCTGTAGCGAGCTTCTCAAGTATACAGGTTTGCAGCTTTCGTCAACGACCTCGCTTCCCATGCCGCTCCTCCCAAGCAAACTACGAACGTACAAATACCCGGGTCGGAAATGTCCCGTCTGCTCTGGTAATCTGTACTTCTCCAAGGCAACGAACAGCTTCGCATCGGCGACTTGCCTTGACAGTGAAACGCTTACACTGGTGCGGTCGCAGGCCTCACGATGCAATAGCTGTGGTAGTGCACTTCGTCACAACTTCGTCTGGTTGGGTGGCCAGAAGATCAACTGTATGACCTTTCACCAGATGCAGAGAGCAGGTGTCTACTTCGTGACCCAGAAGACGTGCTTCACCATGAAGTACCTGCATCTGTGCTACCTCCGCCTACTCCGTGCCAAGACCTCCCCTGGACAAGAAGCCGCTGTTCGTCTCCTGGCAGATTCGCACCACCCGCTACAGTTTTGGCAAGAACATTCCTTGCGCGATAATCTCCTGCACGCCCTCGAGGGCTTCGCCGTGGCCAAGAATGAGCCGGATAAGGTCATAGAGTTTAACCTTGAGTACCCCGCGAAGTCCATCGTGAACATGTCCGGTGCGTCGTCCCACGTCCATGTCTTCGAGCCGCCCACGTCCGTTACCGCGGTCTGCTGCGACGGCAACTTCGGAGTTCATCGTGCTCTGCTTTCAGGAGTGGACCCTCCCAGGTCTGTGAGACTGAAAGGCAAGCCACGCAAGCTCATTGGTGATTTCACACGCACATGCTCCTGCAAACAGAAGGACGCTGTACGTCAGGTGCTACCCGATCGGACTGCTGGATGGCAATTTGTCTTGGACCCTTCCTCTCAACGTCTTCTTGGGGCTTGCGAACATCTCGTAAATGAACGGTCGTCCGACAAAGTTCGACTCCTGCAAGCCGTCCTCGATATGCCAAACATGAAGGTTGACTTCATTATCCATGATGATGCCTGCCACTTGGAGGAGTCCGTTTCCTGCTTTGGTTGCTTTACATTGCTTTTGCTTTGCTGGTTCTGCTAGTTGTTGTGTCTACTACAACTTCATGCGCAGGAGTTTATCAAGAAGCACAAGGCATCTGGCTTCCAGGATGTCAAATACTACATCATCGACAAGTTTCACCGGCCGAATCATACCTGCAGTAAAAGAAAACTCACTAGGGCCGAAGACCGCCGTGCCCGCGACACGCGTACCAACACCGCGGAAATCTTTAATGCGTGGATTCGCCCCCTGAACTTTTTTCTGAACAGCCTGCGACCCCACAGTCACAAATTTTGGGTACTGGAGGCATGCAAGTTCTTTAACCTCCATGGTCGGGCGCAGCACGGAGTGCTGACTCGACGAACGACTGCCAAATCACGCAGTGTTCACAAGAGGCCCAGCGCGAAGCGCCTGAAGCGATGACGACAATAGGCCGCGACCTTATTGCTCAGGGACAGCAAAAGAAACACTGTTGCTGCATGCCGTGCTTCTGATGAGCAGCGTGACTACATGCACATTCTTACCTATGCTCGCTTCAGCCGCCTCTCAGACACACGTAGCCTTTCCGTAGGTTGTAGCTTTCTTCGTACTCGCGATGCCGTACTCGGTGGTGTCCGTTTCAGGCCACATGTCCCGCAAGGGCGGTGGCAAGTTCACCCTGGACTTGGGTGTGAGCGCTGCGGACTCAACCCCGGACCGCGAACCTCCGGCAGCTAAGACGTTGCACCAGCAGCTGCAGGATGGAAGCCTCCCGGCACATCCGTCCAAAGCGGCTATGACTGTTCGTAATCTACAGACCCAGATCGCTAACATCAAGCGCAGCGTGGGTTTGGGGTCGAATAGCTGGTCCGATGAAGCTGAGGAGGCCCTTAAGACTTGGCTACGTCGCCCTAAACTGTCTTCGGCTTCTTCCTCCATTTCCGGGGACCGCGACAGTGGGTCAAGTCTCAAACGTAAGACGCTCGTGATGGCCCAGACGATCGACGACCTCGAAGGCGTAGTGGCTCGCGCCCAGTGGGATGCAGAAAAGCACGAAGAGACCGTGACTGAGCTCAAGAAGCTCAAGGCTATTCTCAAAGAGAACGGCCTTCAGCATCTGTATGAGGAAGCCTCATGAGCATCTGCCGCGTTGTTTTTTCATGTTATATGTACACATGCATCCGCATAGTTTTCCATGTCGCGTGTGGTGGCACAGAGATCCGCTGCATCAGAGGTAGCAAAGAAGAAGGAACCCATGCTTATCTTCTGCTTATCTTCCCACGCCACAACAGTCCCCTCTCCAGAAATAAAGCGCTAAACCACATCTTCAAAATAACTCTGTACTGGAGCCTTCACCTTAAACCTTGTGTTCCGAGATGAGATCGACACCCTGCAGCACTGTCCATGGCCATCCTGGAATCCCTTGATTTAAGCCCCGATCCTGTAGACTTAACCCTAGACCCCAAAGCCAATACTTTAAACCAATCTTTAAACCCCACACCGATCTAGCAAGTATAGGTCGGCTGCATGAATAAGTGCAGCTCTGGCCCCTCCACCCGCCGTCGGATGTACTGGTCTTCGGCATTATCTTCGGTTGTTGTGGCCGTCCATACAGATGGGAGATTTGGTCCGGTCGCCTGGGGTGTCACAACGAGACTTCATTAATGGGGTTTAGTTTTGGGGTCCATGGCCCCTCAGGACGGCCAAAAGATTAGGTATAGTAGGTTGCATCTATAGGTTATACCTCAGACTGAGAGTACGGGGTTTTGGGAAGTGCATGCCTGATCTCGAGAATAAGATAGTTCGATCACTTGGCTTAATTTGGATGCCAGAGGTACGGTTTGGGGTGCTTGTGACGGGATCAGGATCCGAGTGATCGGGGTAGAGGATTCAACATCTACCACAAGACAGCGATCGTTGATGAGTTCCACAACATGCTGTGCCATACACGCTCTTGCGCGGGTTCTGCATTCTGCAAGACGAAGCGAAGGACGATTTGACCATGACTTGTCATGTCGCACACGCGTACCCCCATGTCTATATCGATCATCCAGAGCCCAAGCCACATAGCATCGATCCGAAACCGCTCTAGCATGACTCTGCTGATCACCATGAGCAAATCAAGCCATGATAGACAATCCCAGGCGCAAGAGGGTTCATCGCAACTGCTGTTCGAGTCCCAGGCCTCGGACAACTTTCGGTTTTGACTAAGTAAAAGCTTGTAAACCCTAAACCCCAGCGCCCTAACCGATCTTGAAGCATATAATAAAGGAAGACTCCGAAGGCTCCCGCAAACACAAACACAGTAGCTAAATATTTGGGGCTCCCAGCGGACTCATAATAACAAAACAAGACATCCAAGGTTCCAGCTTCAGCTTCCTCAATGCTTACACCTCGGGGCGCTGCCCCATGCTTCCTACTGGATTGCCGAGCATGCCAAGTGTGGTGAAAGGCAACCTTTTGGCATGCAGGCCAGAATACAGTTTCTAGATGAAACATGTCAATAATAACACGGAGTTGGGGTCTACTCCAGGTCTGCTCTCCTGATGCTGTTGGCGCACTGCTGTGACACATATGCCGTTCTAGAACAACCACGGCAGCAGTGTGGAATGGAATCGCACCCGCGGTTCCGTGGTTTGCTGCAAAAAATCAAAGCAACTTAGCTCAGCGAAGTCTTGCGATTTGTGGAGGATGCACAATAATTCCATGTGTACGGGCTTGAGGTATATCGTGCAAACTTCTGCATGTCCTATTTCGCCGCTGAAACCAAAAAACCTACCTATCTGTATGGCAACCATATCTTCCTCCATGACTCCTGGTTGCATTACTCAGGGCCTGCAAGACATATATGTGCTATCGAAGCCTATATCCTGGCTGACTCGCCTGTGTGATCTAGGGCCTGTCGAAGCACATGCGACATCCCCTTCGTGTTCTGAAGAACGTCGTGCGGAAGCACACAGATGAAACTCGATGAGAAGCTATGCCTCCAGATACATGTCTAATTGAAATATAACCAGCACTCGACTGGAGCACGCTGCACCCAAGGAACGTGGACGCCAACGAGTGACTGGAATCCCTGAGGATGTCAAGCGGACTCAGAACCTTGCTTGCAGACTCATACCCTGAACCATCGTACCATCATACACCAGGATAAGCAACGTACTCTTTTTGCTGAGCCTATCCGTAGTCCAGGCCCACCCACCCCAGGATTTGGCAACTCAGACCCCAACACCACACGGCCAAAATCAACGTCGGCCGAGGTGCTACACGCCGGAGTTCGCGACGGCTGTCCTTGACAGCTGGAAGCAGGGCTGTGGCTGTGCTCTTGAGACTTGGTCTGGGTTTCGTGGAATGGAGCTGTTGTAGTAATTGTTCTCAGCACAGTAGCCAGTAACCCTGGAAGAGCAACGAGAACAATAATGCAGACACAGCAGCAACGGCCAACACCGTTAGCAATACCAAAGTCATTTCATCAGCCATGAGTCTTCGATATAGGGACCACGATCAGGAGGTCATTCTCATGTGGTTATCCGAGGTCAAGGCTGGGAACTTCCCAAGGTGATTAAGCTTTGTTGCAGTCTATCTATTCGGGTTTAGGAATACAGGGGTGGGCTCAGGCTTCAGCAACAACTGTAACATCATGTTCAGGTGTAGCCGGCTTCAGTTGTGGGTCGGCTGGGCTTTAGTCTTTGCACTCGTG